GCAGGACAAACCGGGGGGCAGGAAACACCACAAGACTGCAGAAAGTGTGAAATTCAGAGCAGCTGGGCCCACACAGAGCAGGCAGCCTTCCCAACAGGCTGTCATTTAGCCCAGCCCCTGCTCTAACCCCCCTCTCCCACTCCCCGGCTGCAGGAGGGCTGGGAATCTGCGGGGGCCATTCCCCGTTGCTGGGAAATCTGGCTACTGAAACCATGACAGCGTTGGCTGGAAACGCAGCCCCTCCCCTGGGCTCTCCAGCAGCTAACGCCATTGGGCATTTTGTCACCCCCACTGCCTGCAGGACGGCACCCGGCACAAACAGCCCCCAAATCACAGACCCGGGCCCCCGCCGGAGGAGAGCAGCTCTGGGAAGAGGCATACTAAGCGCCATGTTCATTACGGTGAGGTACGGAGGTATGTGGGGGAAGCACCGGCTTTGCCTCAGCTCTAGGGGCCGGCTGGTCACCTGGACCATCTTCATCATCACCAGGTGGTGGCCCCATGAGGGGCAGGGAGGGACATGGCACCTTGATGCACAGCAATACCCGGTGATTAGGGAACAGGGCAGGAGAGCTCTGCCAGGGCACATCAGCATCCTTCACCTCATCTGTTTAAAAAGGAAGGGAGATCTTTAACCCCTACACCACAAATCACAGAGGAAAACCATCCCAGCAGAGCTACATTAATTGCAGGGAGGGAGGTCAGGATGTGTTCCCAGCCTTGCAGCCTGGGGAATCAGTCACTGGAGGGGACTCTGCTTATCTGGTCACAACCAGAAGAGCCATGGGGCAGAAGAGACAGCTGCCAGCAGAGCTTCTCTGCTCCCAGCTGTGTGGGAAGGATTCTCTGGCACAAATCCTGGCCATCAGCTTCAGAGAGCAGATATCTGCAGCCGGTGGCAGGGAACGAGCAGACCCTGTCCTGGCATTGCCCAGTTGGCTGAGAGCCTTTGCCTGACCCCAGACACTGCTGAAGCTGCCAGATGCACGTGGTCCTAAGCCTTTGCTCCCTCTGTTATTTGAATTGGATCCCCAACTCTGACTGCTGACGTGTGTCAGCCCTGGGGATTTCTCAATCATGACAGCTTGGTGAGAGTTCACAGCCAAAATGTCCCCTGGTGACTCAGCCGCAGCCTCCAGCTCTTTCCCCTTGTGACCGGGACAAGTTTGTGGAAGGGGACTGGCAAGGGACAGGGCTCACTTTTTTCCTACTCATGTTTGATGAAACAAAGTTGAAGGACAGAAACACTTCATGAATCAGAACCATTGTCCCCAAATCAAAATGTTCATCCCCAATCCTAACCTGGAGCATTCCCAGCACCAAACACCAGCAGTCATGGCTGTAATAGGGCAGCCCAAAGCCCTGCTGATGGCCACACAGGGATCCCACCTTTGCTGACTGCAACAGCGGGCAGGTTCTCAGGCCCCCGTTGTACCTCCTGCCATGTCCGTGGGGCCCCCGGATTCAGGGTGACCGCACTCATATCTCAGGTCTCATTCCCTATCTGCAGCCAACTGCCAAGAAACAGTGAACCTGCAGTGCCGCGTCCTGATCCTCACAGCTCACCTGAAGAGGAAGTGTCAGTGCAGGCCTGAAGGTACGAGCGCTCCTGAGCAGTGGTCACCAGAGGGACTGACACTTACCCACAGGGAAGTGGCAGAGGGTAACAAACAGGTCACACGGGAGTCCCAGATCATCCCAAAACACAGGGAAAGGGGCAGCAAACCCCCTCCCCTCTAGACCTCAACAGATTATCCTCAAAGTGTAACTTGCCAAGGAAAATACCTCTAAACCCCACAGGCTCACACTGGACTTTCTTCACCACATCTCTCTCCCTCCAGACTGCATTGATCTTCTGGATGAAACAGGCACCCTGATGAACCTGAGCAAAGCGGAAAATCCTGCATCTGAATTTGCCAGTAAATACCTACAGGAAAGGAAGTGCTACATCCTCATCAGAGTCATCCGTAAGTTCCTCAGTGAGAGCACAGCTCAGCCTCTGCACCAAGAAAGGTCTGCTTTGGGGCGCTGGTGTCACACACCATTTTGAGTAACTGTCCCACACACCAGGAAAACCCTGTCCACCCCTAGAAACACAGATGCAGCTTTAGAGAGAGGGTCTATTCAGCAGTCACTTGGACACGGGACAGTAGCTCTGAGGCGACAGAAGCCAGTTCAGATGAAGAGCTAGAGCTGAACCCTGTGTTTTAGGTGGCTGCTCTGGGGAGGAGGAACCTTTCCTGGGCAGAGGCACCTGCCCCAGTTAGCAGTCTTGACTTCAGTTTTCAGCCAGGAGAGAGATTAATCCATTTCTTCCATTCTGCTGGCAGGAGGAGAAAGCTTTGAAGCCACCTGCTATGAATCCTTGCTAGAGAACCTGGGGAAACATTACCCTGACCTAGCAGGTAAGCCAGGCACCCACCTCACGTCCACAGAGGAGCCGGGGGTGCTGGCATGACTCCCCTCCCTGCCACTGCCCTTGTACAGCACCCATGGGACTGTCCCCTGCATTCCACTGTGCCCCTGCCCGCAACACTGAGCTTGGACTGGTTATGGCTGTGGGCAGCAAAAGAAGGGACAAGCAGAAGCCACAGCTCATTTGCAGAACCTCTCCTAATTAGCATGACAGCAGTCACCTGCTACCTTTCCACCCCACACCAGGCACAAGCTCCCCCAGCTTAGAGGGGTCCAAAGCAAAGAGGGGACATTTTCTCAGGACAAACAGGGAGGAGAACAGGAGGGACCAGGAAACCAAGAAGTCCATCTCCCAGGCTGTAGTCTTATGGGTTGGCATAGCCCCACTTAACACACCAAGGGGCAACTGACCAAGACAGAAGGAAAACACCTAACTGCTGGGGGGATCACTCCACAGATCGGCTGCAGCAGCTCTCAGCAAACACCCAGATCAGAGACCAGTGGAAAAGGGGTTCTTCGCAGCGGCGGGCTCAGCCCCTCACCAGCACCCCAGCCAGACCCAGGCCCATCTCGCAGAGCAAGAAGAGCTCAGAGCTCAAGGGCACCCCTAGATGAGGAATGGACCTGATGGGAACAGGCCCTTTACTGATCACAAATGCAGCGTGGCCACCACCAAGGCTCAACCACCATGCCGCACTGTCCAAGCACTCACCCCTGCTTACAAGAATCCTCCACTATTTAATTGCTCTTCCTGGGATCCTCCTGCTCCTTTGAGAAGTTCACACTACTGCATCCAAAGCCACACAAACAGCACCACAGCCAGGCACAAGCAGTGGCCTCCTGCTTCAAGGGACATCCAGAGCCCTCACAGCTCCAGAAGTAGCATTGCTAGCACATAGCCAAGGTGGGTCAGAAGACAGCACACACCTGCTGCAGGTGCTCCTGATGGTTCTCCTCAACAGCTTCTCCATCCTGACCAGCACACACCAACATCAGTCTAATATTTATTTCTTACAGGAAATTAGTTCTACTTCATTACAGCAGTTCCTCCCTGCTCACACTGGGGCAGCTCAGCACACAGAGCACTTGGACTTTGAGGCTCTGGCATCTACTTTTTCCCTTGGCTGTCTCTCAGGAGAGCACAAGGCACCCCAGATAAGGCCAAGCACAGCTCAGGACATTATCTACCACCAAGAATTTAGGTCTTGACATTTAGAAGGAGTAGGACCTTTCAACACCAGCTTCCGGTATCTGCCACCAGCTTTCATCATCTAGACCCAGACTTCCTCACAAGTCCAGACAAGGGGCTGGGAGCTTGCCCAATATTCAACAGCTAGAGGTGAGCACTTAACAGATTAATTCTCCCATGAAAATTCAGCAGTTAAGCAACTGTGAAAGTGTCACAGTTTCACTGTGTGCCACTAAAGTGCCAGCTGAAGCCTCAAAACTCTTTCACACCAAGAAAATGAGCAGGGTCTCCTGCTGCAGGCAGCATTCATGGGACTGCTCTGCTACAGCGACTGTAAGTGGAAAGCTTAACCTGATGCTGGCGACCTTGAGAACGTCACATAACCTGCTAAGGCTTTTAAGATCAGCCGACTGTATGCCAGTCACGTCATTTTTTTCTTAGCTCCAGGGTCAGAACAGCTCTTCAGGAAGAGGATATCGATGGAAAGATAATTTGTTACCAAAAATACTGTAGGACACATCTCAGATTACCTGTCTCCAGCCCCTCCTCTGCCTGGAGGGCAGCCGATCCAGCCTCAGCTCACCTCTGGATCTGCTTTTGCCAAGTCATGTGGGCGCAGTCCTTGCTGGGCTGCACGGCCTGTTTGCAGGAAACATGCAATTGTGCCTTGTGCCTTGTCCCTTAAGTGGCTGATACTGTTAACATTTTGGAAGCTTAGTTTTAGTTTGAGAATTAATCAAGAACATGCACAAGTGATAGGTCCAAATAAACTCCTTTATTTCTCTGTAATAAATACAGCACTATCTGAATTTCAGGTTCCCACAGATCCAACCATTCCTTTCCTTCCCTCCTAGTCCAGAAGTGAATTACCACTAGAAGACTCCTGTCTGGTCAGTCTGTTCTCTCCAGCTCATCCCCTGTCCATCCTTCCGCTCCCTGCAGGCAGCAGGGCTCTACACCAGGCTTCTCTTCCCTACGAGGGGGCAGATTCTTCACAGGAGAGAAGAAACACCTGCAGGGAGAAAGCACAAGTTCAGTATTAGGTGCATGTTCCAGCAACCAGAGATACCTCTCTTATCTGAGGTGACCAGTTCAGGACATAACTACTGACATCTGCTTTTAACAGGTGCAGCAGGGATTAGGGAATGAAGTAGGGGAAGCAGCAGGCTTCCCAGGGCAGCGAGAGAAGAAGCTCTAAGAGGGTACCTACAGCCCCCTCACCTTCACAAACATGGTCAGGACCATTTCTCCTGCCCTTTCCTGTTCCCTTCTACATTCCAGGACACAGGAAAGGCAGAACTGCTTCCTGTTTAAAGTCCTGAAGAGCACTGTAACCTCAACAGATTGCTTCTGCAGCCTTTGAACCCTCTTGGGTATTCTCCTGGCAGCAGTGCCCTCAGTGCCCAGCCCTCCTGCAGGGACGGGGCACAGACTCACCATTGCTGTACTTGCACTGCTTCAGAGCCTCGTTGAAGCCCTCGCACAGGGTCAGGTCTCTCTGGTTGGTAGCACATTCCAGGAACTGCTTCATCTCATAGTGGCAGGGTCCATAGGGCGACTGCTGGTACACGGGCTGCTGCCTGGCCTCCTGCCGGCGAGGACCGTGTTAGGGGAGGAGGTCTGGGGGCAGAGCCGCCCCCTGCAGCGACCTCAGCGGCTCCTCGTCACCTCTCAGCGGGAACAGCGCTGTCACCTTGGGCTGCCGAGCGCCTGTCCTTCACCGCACGGCCCAGCGGCCCTCACCAGCGCCGGCGGCACCCTGCTCTGCCCGCCCAGTCCCCGCCGCCCCCCCG